CAGCAAGTAAAGGTGCTTGCTATGAATCTGAGTAATTGACCTAAGGTTGATTTCTAAGGCCCACAGAGCTGATTCCTTAAAATTGTCCTCCACCCTACACAAACACACACAGACAAAATCATTCTCAAAGAAATAAGACAAAGTGGAAGAGAAAGACACCAATACACCTATATGTATCCATCATACATATACAACAAGATAAATAAAATTAAAATTAAAACTTCTAATCCTATTGACTACCAGATTATATTGCAGTATGTATTTCAGGGAGTTGAAATTTCTTTGGATTTGTTTAATAAAATTTAATAAGCATAGTCATTGCCATTTGGTAACTGATTTATTTATTTGTTTTTGTTTTTAAGTTTCGTTTTTTTTTTTTTTTTTAATTTTTTCAAGACAGAGTTTCTCTGTGTTGCTCTGTAGACCAGGCTGGCTTCGAACTTGTAGAGATCCTCCTGCCTCTGCCTCCTGAGTGCTGGAACCAAAGGTGTGCTCCACCACTGCCTGGCTGTTTTAGGTTTTTTATTATTGTGTGTGTGTGGATGAGAGGGTGAGAGCTCAGGTGTCACAGCTCTAATGGGTGCATAGCATCAATCTCTGTTCTTCCAGAGACCTCTGTTACAGAGATCAAGCTCAGGTCATCCGGCCTGAGTAGCAACTGCCTTTTTTACCTGCTGAGCCATCTTGATTGGCCCAAATTCGAAACTTCTCAATACAGTTCTGCAGTATATCAAATCATTAAAAATACTACTACTTTTGACAGACAGAACAAAGTCATTCTTATATAGTAGTTATTGAAGTAGTGAGAAATGACTGTTTTGAAAATAAAACTGACATTTGCTGGCAGACTGCATATAGAGGTCAATTGAGAGAGGGAAGGGAGTCAGGAATGATCTCAAGTTACTGGGTAAGTTGTTATAAAAGAAAGAATTTTGGCGAGTGTGGTAACACATGACTCTAATCCACGCACTAAGGAGTCAGAGGCAGGTGTATCTCTTGAGTTCAAGACCAGCCTGGTGTACAAAATGAGTTCCAGGACAGACAGAGCTAAACAGAGAAACTGCATCAAAAAATCAGAGGTGGGTGAGAGATTATGAGTTGTCTTTGAGTCTAGAGGGATGGCTCAGTGGTTGAGACTCCTGGCTGTTCACCCAGAAGACCCACATTTGATTACCAGTACCAACATAATGGCTCACACTGTAACTCCAGTCTCAGGGATCCATTGCTGCCTTCTGGCAAAACACCTATAACAGAAAAATAAAATGAATTTTAAAAAATTTAATCAGTGGTATGGTGGGTTTTTTTGTTTGGTTGATTTTGGCTTGGTTTGAGGCAGGCAGGGTCTCTCTACATAGCACTGGCTGTCCTGAAACTCATTATTTAGACCAGCTTGTCCTCCACCTGCCTCTGTTTCTGAGTGCTGAGATTAAAGATGTGTACCAACACTGCCCGGCTAAATGATGGTGTTTTTAAGGTTCACTTTTATATTGTAACCTTATTTAGGCTTACCTTCAGCCCATCGTATAGTCCTATAATCTCAGTTCTTGGGAGGTTGAAGCAGAAAGATAACAAGTTTAAGGCCTGTAATGAAACTATCAAGACAATAACAGCAAAAACTCTGAGTCTATAATGTAGAACCTTTTGGTTTTTTGAGACAGGGCTTCTCTGTATAACCCTGGCTACCCTGGAACTTACTCTTTAGACCAGACTGGCTTTGAACTCACAGAGATCTGCCTGACTCTGCCTCCCTAGCCTTATCACTGAGATTAAAGGTGTGCAGCACTGCACAACCATAATCAGAACATTTGATGCCAGAAGTTTTGCTTGGGGGTTGTTGCTTTTGTACTACTATTTTTTTAAACTTTTAAATAGTACAGTATTGACTAAATGAACTGATAAAAGATTTTTGGGAAAGCACTCTTTTATCAAACACTTTAATAGTCTGTATTATTGAATGTGTTTCACAGAAATTCTGATAATTAAAACTAAAATCATTTCAGTTCAAGTTTTGTCACTGATGAGGGGAAGAACTTTTTTTTTTGTTTTTGTTTTTTTAGCTTTGGGGATTTCAGGATTCTAAATCTATCATGAAAACCAGTAGAATTTTGTGTTTTATGGGGAGAGAAAGCATGTGACTGGACCACATATGCTCTTGAAGCATAAAAAAAATTGTAGGCATGGATCTTTAATCAGGCATGTGTTTGTTGTTTTCTTTCTGTCTCTGTTTTGTTCTTGAGACAGGGTCTCACTAACTTGCCCATCTGTCTGGCCATGAGCTTGAAAGCTCTGCTTCAAACCTCTCAAGTTTTGGCATTATATGCATACACCATTTCATTTGGCTGTATTTTTTGTTAAATTTTTTTTGCCACTGCTAATGATTATGCCTAGGGTCTTGCACATATAGGATGAATGCTGTACAAATAAGATGTAATCCCAGACAGATATATGAAATGAAAATATCTTTCAGTCCTCAAAACACTGAATTATTAGAGGCTGGAGAGATAACTTGGAGGTTAAAAGCATTTTGCTCTTGTAGAGGATTCAAGTTGGATTCCCTGCACCCACATGGCAGCTCACAGCCAACTATTAGTAACTCCAGTTTCACGGTTCTGATGCCCCCTTCTGGCTTCCCTGGGCACCAGGCTCACACATGGTAAACAGCCATATAATCACCTATACATAGAGAATTAAAATGTGAAAAAGCATAATGTATTATAAACCTGATGTATAAGTTCAGCAGTTAATAGTGCTTGTCACTTGGGCCTGACCATCTGAGTTCAACCTCAGAACCCATGGTAGAAAGAGAATTTGCTCTTGTAATTTGTCCTCTGACTCAATATGTGTGCCGTGGTGCTAACACACCTACACTTTCAAACACACACCCAAACACTAGCAATAATACACTTTTAAAGATTTTTTTAAAAGTTTTATGTGTGTAAGCATTTTATCTGAATGTATGTATATATACCACTTGTATGCCTGGTGCCTACGTAGGTCACAGAGGGAATTGGATACCCTGGAACTGGAGTTATAGATAGTAGTGAGTCATCTGGGTGCTGGGAACCAAACCCAGGACTTCTGCAACAGTCCTCAGGTCACAATAAATAAACACTTTTTGAAGAGAATACTGAGTTATTTTGTTTTGCTTTTTATTTACTAGTCGGCCTTCTGATTTTATGATAACCTGGTTGGTTTCCTGAGGAGCTTTATGTAATAAAAAGGAAGGCCCAGTGACTGGAGAGATGGCTCACGATAGATAAGAGCACTGGCTGCTCTTCCAGAGGACCTGAGTTCAATTCTCAGCACCCACATGGTGATTCACAACCATCTATAATAAGATTTGATGCCTCTTATTGCAGTCATACATGCTAATAGAACACTCATATGCATAAATAAATAAATCTTCTTAAAGAGGTTTCTATATGCAGATTCTTAGATTAGGCAGGCTACTTAACCTTTTTTTAAGTTGGCATGTTGATTTGAAAACATATATTTGGGAAATTGAAATGTTTCAACTATTTGCTATTAGGAAAACTTAATGAAAATAAATTTGTCAGTTATCAATGATTTCTATAATTATTTAATGTTCATGTTTGAACTAGATTATAGACCTCAATTTTAGAAAGTGGGTCTATTGGATACATATTTTTAGGACACAGTATAATACTTGGCATTTAGTTAACACCTAGGGATATTTTCACAATGAATTCAGAGTTGGTGTGTGGTAGCAACAGAGATTATTTCTGCCTGAGACTCCTAACCTGTAGCCACCATGCAGGTGCTGGGATTTTGAATCCTCGCCTTGTGGAAGCACAGCCAGTGTGCTTAACTACTCAGCTATTTATTTCTCCAGTTCTAATCCTGACAGTCTTTAAAATAAAATGTTTGAACACTGAAACCCACCTAAAGCCACTAAAAATAAAAATATTTTGTTTAAAAATGTAAAAAATGTGTTCTTTTAAAATTAAATTCTTATGTCAGACATAGAGGTGCTCCTTTTTTGTCCTAGCATTTTGGAGGCTGAGAAGGAGGAATCTGAGCTTTATTGGCAGATCTTGTCTTAGAGGATGAGAGCATGGAGGGTGGTATGGAGAGGAGAAACAGACTTAAAACACACACAGTTATTTCTATGTTGTAGTCATGTTTGGGCATCAGTTGCGAAAGGCTTTTTGGCTGGTTTATAATGATTTTTAGGGCCGGGTGGTGGTGGCGGCGCACGCCTTTAATCCCAGCACTCGGGAGGCAGAGGCAGGCGGATCTCTGTGAGTTCGAGGCCGGGCTGGACCAACAGCCTCCAAAACAATACAGAGAAACCCTGTCTCGTTAAAATAAATGATTTTTAGTTTTTTATGTTTTGTTTTCCTAGACAAGGTTTCTTTGTGTAGCCCTGGCTGTCCTGGACCTTGCTCTATAGACCAGGCTATTCTTAAATTCAGAGATCTGCCTCTTCTCTTGAGTGCTGGTATTAAAGAATTGTACACTTTGCCTGATTTTTTTTTTTTAAAGGGCTACCGTCTCAAGCCAATTGTGGTGCACACCTGTAATCCTAGCACTTGGGAGCTGGAGGCAGTAGAATCAGATAAAGATCATCTTCAACTAACAGTTCAAGACCAGCCTGGGTTATATGAGACCCTTTGTCAAAACAGAAGACCCACACACCCACACATACTGAGCAGAGAAAGGAAAGAGACAGATCTCTCTGTGTTTTCTTTCAAACTTGAGGTTCCCTTGTCTTGGCCCCTGAAGTACTGGGATCTAGGAATGAGCCTCCATGCTCTGCTGTAACGGTGATTCTTAAATTTTGATATCTGCCACAATATTGTAGCTTGTTCATATGAAAAGAAATCTGAAGTTTTTAAGTGAATTCACGAGTAAATGATTTGTATATATTCTGTGCTACATTTTGATTTACTGATTTTTTTTTTGATGCTTGTCCTGCTGTCCTTATTGCTCTTTCTTGTTTATTTTCTGATAAATTTTTGTTATGATCTATCCTGCAGGGAAAGAGATGCTGGTCGCAAGTTTTGGAAAACCATATATTTTTATGGAACAGTGTTCTGTAAAAGTTTTGTAAGATTCCTTGGCAATAACACACTTGTGATGGACTCTAGGAATACTGCTATGTTAGGATTGGGTTCTGATCCCGAAGGATTTTCAAGAAAGAGTCCTTGTACCATCAGTACTGGCACTCTGGCCAGCAAGAGAGAAGTAGAGATAGAGAGTGACACGAAAGAAGACGAGGACCCGCGCAAGCGGACTCGAGAAGGGAGCAGTGAAGTAGGAAAAGATGATGGTTTGCCTGATGCACAGCAACAGTTTTCAGTGAAAGAAACAAATTTCTCAGAGGGAAACTTAAAATTGAAAATTGGCCTTCAGGCTAAAAGAACTAAAAAACCTCCAAAGAACTTGGAGAACTATGTGTGTCGACCTGCCATAAAAACAACCATCAAGCACTCAAGGAAAGCACTTAAAAGTGGGAAGATGACAGAAGAGAAGAATGAACACTGCCCTTCAAAGTGGGTGAGTAAACTCTACAACAGTATACAGTCATTGCAATATTTGGTTTTCTCTATTCATCCTTATTTACACTAACCTGTAGATATTTCTAAACAGGCTACAGGGATGCTAAAAGCATAACAACGTAATTATATCTATTCCTAGAATTTTTTTATTTGTGTGAATGTGTATAGGGAATGCCACTTCATGCATGTAGAGGTCAGAGGACAACTTTGGTGTCAATTCTTTTCACCTTCACATGATTTCTAAGGAGTAAACTCAGGGCCTGCTTTCAAGACCAGTGTCCTTACCAGCTGAGTCATCCTACAGGCACATATGTCTGTATCTGTATTATTATCTATAAAATTATGACATGTTAAACAGAGCTAATTTGTGCTAAACAAAGTAGATTGTTGTTCCTAATGTAACAGTGGGAAAAAAGGTGGTGATTATATTTAGGAAATGTAGATTTGAATCTTGTCTTTCTATTTCCAATAATGAAGGAATGAACACATCAACAAATAAATTGAGGCTCAGATAAAAAATTATCATAGCACCTCTCTTAACATGGTTGAAAAGATGTGATTCATCAACGTAGTGAGAGCTTTTGTTAAGTGAATTCTTTTATAAGACATTCATGTTGCTGTTTCTCTTAGGCATACTGCAGATCAATAACCCTGGCTTCTCTGGAAACCAGTACAGGATATCCTGACCGAAAGCAACAAACAAAAAACCAAGTTGTCTTCTTCCTGTCACTACTCAAATATAATGACTAATTTTTTAAATTGATTTAACATGGTTGTGATGGTTCATGCCTTGGACTCAAGTATCTGGGAGGCAGCAGCAGGTAGATCTCTTGAGTTTGAGGTCAGCTTGGTCTACATGGTGAATTCCAGGCCAGACAGAGCTACATAGTGAGACATTCTCTCAAAATAAATAAATAAACAAGCAAATAAATGATCTGAGGTTTATGGGTGTCTTGCATGCTTGTATGTCTCTTCTCAATATGCTCTTACCTGGCTCCCACAAAGGCCAGAAAAAGGTGTAGGAACTCCTAGAATTGGAGTTACAGACTGTTGTGAGGTTCCATGTGGATACTGGGAACTAAACTCTGGTCCAATGGAAGAACAGTGTTCTTAACCACTGAGCTGTCTTTCTAACCCCATGACTAATTTTTCTTAACTTCACTCTGTCTAGTGACAGTGGCAATTTGTGTGACAACCTTTTACGTTATTTAGTATCAGTCTATGAATACAATATGTGTCCTCTACAGGATGAAGACTGTGCATTAGTAATAAGGATGGTGTCAGACTGAATTCTTTTAACACTTTATCTAAAATTTAATAGTAATCTCTGCATGAAAACTTGACTGTCATTGTTTTTCTCTGTGGTTCATATTATTTTATGTATATGATGTTTTACCTATATGTGTGTCTGTACCATGCCATGTGCTTACAGAAGCCAGAAGAGGGCATGAGAACCCTCTTGGACTGGGGTTACATACAGTTGTGACCACAACTTTGTGGGTCCTAAGAATCCAATCTGGTTCTTCTGGATCAGCAGCTGAGCCATCTCCCCTTCCCCCCCTGTATATATAAGAACAACTTTGAGTTGGTTCTCATTCCACCATGTGTCCCGAAATCGAACTCAGATCATCAGGCTTGCTTGACAGAACACCTTTATTCACTTAGCTCTCTTGTTAGCCCTTATTACTCATAACTCTTTGCTCCAATGTTTGTGCTTTTTACATGTTTTCAGAATCTGTGCTGCAGAAGTGTGTTGTGTGTTTAAGACAGGGTCTCTTGTAGCTTGGGCTAGCCTCTAATTTGCTATGTAGCCAAGTTTTACCCTGAACTTGTCACTCCTTGGGTTGGGTTTACTGGAGTAGGCTACCTGGTTTGGCCAGAATTTTTTGTTTTGTTTTGGTTGGGTTGTTTTTGTTGTTGTTGTTTGTTTTGTTTTGTTTTTGTTTTTGTTTGCTTGGTTTTTTCGAGACAGGGTTTCTCTGTAGCTTTGGAGGCTGTCCTGGAACTCTCTCTCTGTAAACCAGGCCTGCCTCAAACTCACAGAGATCTGCCTGCCTCTGTCTCCCGAGTGCTGGGATTAAAAGCGGGTGCCACCAATGTCCGGCCGTTTGTTTTATTTTGAGCTGGAAATCTCACTGTGTCTGACAGATCTGGAACACGCTGTATAGATCTTGCTGGCCCCAAACTCACAGAGATATATCTGCCTCTGCCTCTGCCTCTGGAGTACTGGGATTCATATCATGGCCATTTAATAAATGATTTATTTATTAGTACTGGGGGTTGAACCCAGAGTTTCATGTGGCCTTTACCACTAAGTTGAGTTCTCTGGCCTTCTGTTGACAACTAGTCATGTGGACTGTTGGCATTTCCTCAGAGGAGGAGTTGGTGTTGTAAGCAGTTCTGCCTTGATTACACATGACCTTAGTTTCAGGGATAGGTTAGAGTATGTAGGCTGGAGAAGACTAGTAGAGTACTCTATCTGTACATCATCCATGCTAGGTGCAGATTTCTCAGTGTTGCTTCTTTGGAGTCACCCATGCCATATAAGTAAACTTGGTAAATTCTGAGGGCACAGGAGGGTGGTGGCAACTTTGATTTACATTGAAACCTTAGCAGGAGGGGAGTAGACATTCTTGGCAACAAATATTATTACCCATTGTTCCTGCATGTATTCTCATTGTTCAAAACTGTCCATTTTAGATTCCCCATTTAGGGAGTTGGCTTGATAATACCATGATAATGTAATAATGTTATCTGATGAGTAGAAAAATAGTTTCTGAAGTAAAGTGAATAAAGTTTTCTATTTAATATGTCTTTAGGGTTACCTTTGCTAGGATGGTTATAATTAAGATTATGCTGTATTTAGGGATAGAGAGATGGCTCAGCCCTTCTAGAGGACCTGTGTTCCATTCCCAGCATCCATATGACAGCTCAAAACCATCTGTAACTCTAGGTCCACATTTTCGCACACCTTCTTCTGGCTTCCATGGGCACCTGCATGAATATGATGAATATGACACACACACACACACACACACACACACACACACGCAAAGCACCCCTACACAAAATTTTAAAATAAAAAAGATGTTGTTTAGAACCAAAATCGATACAAAGACACTTCCAGAAGAGCAAATAATGCATTGCTTTTACATCTTCCAGAAACGTGTATATACAAGCACATACATGTTTCCTACATACATATTCTCCATTTAAAAAAACACAAATACCATATCGTTAACATTGTTCTATATATTGTTTTTCTCTATGTCACCTCCATCTGGCCTGTAGCTTACTAGGTAGACCAGCATGCCTCTGCTTACCAAGTGCTTTTTAAGCTAATTCTGGAGATTTTTCCTAAATAGCAGGAGTGACGTTGCTTTTTAAAATATGGATTTAAATTTTTTCAATGTGTATTTTTTAAATATGTATTGGTTATATATGTGCATGTCTGCATGCACATGCATGCCACAGTATGCTTGTGGGTGTCAGAGTGTAAGTTGTGGGGGTGGGTTCTGGGGGTCTGGGGGTCAGGTTCTCAGGCTTGTTGGCAAGCACCCTCACCCTAAGAGCCATCTTGTTAACCTTCAGTTGGATAGTTTCCCTTAGATACTATGTCAATTTGCCATGCAGAAGTGTGTGGTTTTCAATTCTTAAATAATCTTGGGAGCTCGGATGTAGTAGTTCAGGTGGTAAAGTCCTTGTGTAGTATATATGAGGTCCAGCATTGGGTTAACATTTTTTTATTCATAACTAACCTCACTATTTAAGCCTAGGCTTACCTCAGAGTAGCTGGCCTCAAACTCAAGATCCTCCTGCCTTAGCCTTCTTGGTGCTGGGATTCCTAGGTATTGTAAGCATGTCATAAACCTTTACTTGTGATGTCTGGGTTTTGATGCATCATTTGAAAAACTCTTTTTTAAAAAATTATACTTAAACTTTAGCATTTCGTGTGTGTGTGTGTGTGTGTGTGTACACATTATCACATCCATTCCCAACTCTACCTTACATGCTTCATCTACTTTTACTCCTCCTCTTCCTCCTGCTTTAAGTGTGTATGTGCCTATGAGTGTTGATGTCTGTGCAGGCCAGAGGTGTAGGATCTCTCTGGAACTGGAGTTAAAGGTGGTTCTGTCCAGTCCACTCCATGTGTGTCCTAGGAACTGAACTTGGATCTTCTGCAAGAGGCTGTATGTGTTCTTAACTGGCGAGACACTTATGATTGGTAAATAGGAAGGAAGACTGTTGATTTTTTTTTTTCTTTAAGTATGCTGCTGTTTTGCTTAAATTGTGTATCAGTTCTCTTGAGTTTTCTAAGGCTTTAGAGTCAGGTATAGAGTCCTGTCATCCACAGACAGGCACTTTGACTTCTTCCTTTCCTCTTTGTGTCCTTTTATTTGCATTTTGTCCTACTGCTCTAAGACCTCTCTTCTAGTGGTGGAGAAAGTGGGCATCCTTGTTTTATCCTAATTTTAGTAGAAATACTTTTGAGGGTCCCTCCCCCCGTTTTATATATGATGTTGGCCATAGTTTGTCATTTGTTTTATTTATTTGGTTCTCTGTGTAGCCTTGACTCTCCTGGTACTAACTCTGTAGACCAGGCTGGCCTCAAACCTGGAGATTTCCCTGCCTCTGCCTCACAAGTGCTGGGATTAAAGGTGTGCACTGCTACTGCCCAGCTCCTTTATTATGTTTATAACATTTACTACTTAAATATTGACTTCTCCCTTATCTCTGGAGTGTACCCAACTTGGTCTTGGTAAATGATCTTTTTTTCTTTTAAAGATTTATTTGTTTTTACATGTGTATGGTTGTTTTCCACATGTGTGTGGGCTCCCCTGGAGACCATAAGATGATACCATCTAGTGTGGGTGTTTAGCACTAAATTCCAGTCCTTTTTGAGAGCAGCAGAAGTTCTTAAATCACTAAACTAGTTTTATGAAATAGTTTAAGAAGAATTGGTGTTAAGTCTTTGAAGATCTGGTGAAGTTCACCATT